CAAGAATGAAGAAGTGCAGTAAGCAGCAGCAACTTAGTGCCCAAAGTGGGAAAAGACTAGGGAAATTAAGACATTCACAGAAGGAGCAGCACAACCTTTGTTTATACAGTTGTTGCAGACACTTTATAGTATCTCAGACAAAGGATACAGAGTGTTTTCCCCTTGAGGTATTGCTAGGATTTTTTTTTTTTTTTTTATTTAGAACTCATTTTCACCTGTGCTCTAATACTCCACATTAGTTTGAACTAGAGCTAACAACTGGAGCTACCTCGTGCTTTTTCATAGAATTGAAGCAACATCAAGCCAGTAACACTGCAGTTCACTGGGCACACAGCTACATGAGACGCTTACTCCGCATTAGCCTAATAACACTATGCAGTAGTGTATCATGGCAAAAACTGTGCTAATAGCCTACTGCACAATGTTCTTAGGCTAATGCACTGTGTCACTAAATAACCGTGAACCAGTGCTACTGTGCAGTAACTCTAGGTACTGTGCATTTAGTTAGTGCATTATTAAGGAAGTAGTTAACTAAATAGTATCTAAGGCACATTAATGAATGTGTAGATGCACCCACTAAGTTAACAAATAATGGCTAAAGAAGTCAAATGAAAATGGCTGGTGACAGAGAGGGAGGTTACATAGTGTATCCAGTCTGCTAATTTATAAGGGCAGTGTTTTTCAACCCATGGTACGCGTAGCCCTGGGAGTACGCGAGACACGGGCAGGGGTAAGTGGGGGCTGTGTCTGATGTGCTGGTGCTTTCATCAGTGTGCCGGGGGATAGGGAAGTAGGCCCCGCATAAGCTGCTTTGCCCTGGGCCGTGGTGGAAAAAGTGGGATTTGGCTTGCTGTGGTGAAACAGCAAGTGCCATGTTTGTGAAACCAGACTTCCGGTTTCACTTTTGTTGTCTCGATCGGCATGGGGTACATGTAAGGTACCAAAGGTTGAGAACCACTGTATAAGGGGGTCTCAGCCAATCTGGAGCTGCCAGAGCTTCTGTGGCTTTTAAGGAGCACTTTTCCCTAAGCCACTCATCACTTTAGTTCAATTCCTGGGAACTGACCATAGTTCAGTATATCCCTGGCTGATTTGGGGGTGTGGGAGCGGCCAGGGAGAGGGATGCTCCCTTGACCTCTGCTTGTGTGCCTGGAGGACCGGGGGCTCAGGGGGAGCTTTGCCACTTTTGAAGAGCTGGTCCGTTTCCTTCCACTGGTAGCAGTGGAGTCCCCGGGCAGCCCCCTGGTGCACAGATGCAGGAGTCCAGGAAGCAGGGAACCATGCTGAATTGCTACCAACAGAAGGAAGACAACTAGCTCTTTACAAGTAGCTGAGATCCACCCAGAGCTCCCAGCCAGGGACACCACAGTTAAGTGCCCGCTATAGGGGCTGGGGAACTACAGTTCTGGTTGCATACCAGAGCATTTAATTGCTGTTTAGGAGCAGGAAGGGGGAATGGGGGAGGGTGAGGAGCAGTACAGTGTGGAGTGCCTAGTCCAATCAAACACTAGTTAAGGAAAGCTTGGGGTCTACACACAACACTGAACCAGTCCACAGAGAACCAGTTCAAAATAGTACTTGATTACCCAGGTAAACTTTTGAAACAGTTTATGAAATTTAAACCATTCTAAACTGACTTGAATATCTGGACATTTGGTTTAAACCACATTTGAATCTAAGTGTCATGCCTTTCCGCAGCCCAAAAGAACAAGTCCCTTTCTGAAAGGCAGTTTGGTATACAGTGTCAGCATGCTGAGTGAAAGTGAACTTAATCTTGAGATGATGTCTGTGAAGAGCTGTTCAACAGGAAGCTTTCTGTGAGAAAAGATGGGCTCCGAGCCATCAGGATTGACACACAACAGCTGTAAATCCTTTCGTGTCCTTTTTATTATATAATTGGTATGCATCTTGAATAGTTATTGTACTAAGCAAATATATGTATTACTTTGATCAATTCTGTGTCCAAACATAACAGCTTTAGTAAATATGAAAACATTTTGTGATATGGAAATTGACCAAATTACTCTGCTGACAAATCACCTACCAGTAATTTAACTAGCATACGACAGCAGTATTTCTCAAATTCTTGTTCCTTCTTTCATCCTTGCTAGTGGATTGGGGGCACTAATTGCTAATTTGATACAAAAAAGTATTCCATGGATAGAAGGTTTCTAAACCTTACCTTCAGAAAAGCTGCCCTTAACTGTAAACTTCTTGCAATTGCATTTCATTTTATTGCTGTAAACATGTCCAAGTCATTTTTTTACTTTCAAATAAAAAGCCAGTTGCTTGCTAATTTTTGTTGTGCTTAATGCACTGCCAATTTACATGTGCCATTTCTTGTTTTTAGCTTGAAAGCCTGCAGTACTCCAAAGAAATTCAGAAGTATCTTACATGGCAGGATGGAGCACAAATATGAGCATCACCAATTGTAGCCTGCCAATTTATGCCTAATAAGCATTAATTGCTCTAAAAGCCAGCAATGTTTTTTCTACTTGAAAGGTACCTACCAAGCATGACAAAATAAGAAATCTCACAGAGTAAATACTAGGAATTAAGTCACTGAAACATGCAAGACTTCCCTTTCATTCTTTGGGTCAGACTACTAGTGCAGTTTCTTTCTGTATGTTATAGAATTTCATCTAGAAACATGTATTTGATATGTTCAGCATTGCCAGGAAGTGCACTCTGATGAATGGAAGACTTGTTCAAGTATCAAAATACAAAATTTTAACTATGACTTACATTTGGTTGAATTGGTGCGCGCGCACACACGCACACAATTATTTCTTTAAAAGTCGAAGCTTTGTTTCAGCTAAATCTTCTCAAGCTAGAATGGCCATGAGAGCTAGAAAGCTGCTTTGTAAAAATTATATAAGCTATATTTAATCGCAACTGATCTAAACATGAAATTTCTTGAATTTTAAACAGTGGCAAAGCAGTACCCTGTACCACATTAAAGACTAGGTTGCAGATGTGTCAGAAGTTAACCAGAAAGTTAGAAATGGGGAAGAAACAGAAATGCTTACAGGTGAAGTGACTTCTTTTCTCTTGTAGTAATGCTTTCTTTGTGCTTTACAATTCCTCTTCCAAGCAGCCTGCCTCATTAACATTACCAGTGCAAAACAGGTGTCAAGTTCATGCATCTTTGTAAAGGTAAATGAAATACAGACTGTGAACTGCCATATGACTTAATTGTATTCACACTGGTTGCTATTAACAGCTTATAACTTGATAAATGAACCATGCTCATTTTTATTAAACACTGGCAAGACAAGCCCTTTGCAGTTACAGCGTAACAGAAGAGCTCTAATATGAGGTGGTAAATTGGCACTATAGTCACTATATAACAGAATTACAATGAAGAGCATGTTACACCCCTCTCTTTCTGTAGTGCAGGGGTTAGCAAAGAACAAAAGGTGGTGCTGAAACAGAGGAAGAAAGGAAGCAGAACCTTCCGATACTTCTCTCCTCTTTACGCTAAGGGTGTGAAGGCTTCGCCTCACTTGCCTCCTGTACTTCTACCATTAAAGATGGTCAAAAAACTTCTTAGATCAAAGCTGGGAAGCAACCACTATTCACCTTTTCTTGAACAGGTGGTTTAAGGAACAGCCAACTTAATAGCTTTTCTATTTTTTTAGAGGAGTTTCAAGTATTGCACACAAGAACACATTATGAACCACTACATTCAGGTGACCACTATCAGCCCATGCTCACTTGTATTAAATTTGTAAGCAATAGTATTTTAAGAAGCTGAACACTTCCTTAAACATTAGCTCAAAAAGTTTTATTTTGAATCAACTGCTTACCCTGAAATAAATGCAACTATATACACATAAGAGATTGCACAGACAACACATCATTGAAGTTTTCTTTATAGATTTTTGGAAAAATATAGTAGCCATTCCAAAGCTGTAGTTTTCCAATGAAGATGAATTTAAATGATTCACTTAAATGTATCCAGCAGAAGTATTAAGCAAAGTGTAAAAGGATTTAAAATAGGGTTCTCACAAAGCATTGCTTGCTTTGGTACAGCACAGCCTACTGCCCTTACAGAAATCAGAGTTCAAAAATCATTACCTCAGGGCTGTCCAACTTCAGAGCAGTTGGGGGCCAGATGCCATGTAGCTGCATATTGAGGCCACACAGATCACTGCATGCAGACCCCTCACTACACAAGCCACCCACAGCTGCTGCCACTGCTATCACTGTGTATGTTAACCCCACCCCCTTGCTGCATGAGACATGCAAGCCTCCTTGCTGTCACCACCACGCAGACAATTTCCCCCCTGCCTTTGCCACATGAATCCTCCTCCAACCTCACCCCCAAACTGCCCCTGCTGCTGGCATGCAGGCAGCAAACTCATCAGGCCCCCCTGCTCCACTACCATGCCCCCGAGACCCTGACTCCCCTTACCACAGCAGCCAGAGCAATGGGAGCAGCAACAGGCAGTTGGGAGCATGAGGCCTCATGTTAACCCCATGCAGGCCAGATGCAGCCCACAGGCCTCCAGTTAGACAGCCCTGCTTTAACTTATCTGGGATGGAACAGACCATTTATTTACACAAGTGCTACTGATCTGAAATGAAAATTCAACATGATTGATCTGCTTCCAAATTTGTATAAGTTTTCCATTTTAAATCCACACAACACTGATACACTGAGGAATGGCATTGTAGCATGAAAGGTATTTTGAAATTTTGAAACTGAAATCTTTACAGTGAATGGAAATTGCACAATCGTGCTTGAGAAGGGTTTAAAGAAACAAAAGGATTTTACCATTTGATCTATATATAAATAAAAACAATGGTTTGTTGCATTACTTTGGAAGATTCTGTACAAGTTTCTGTGATTCACTTTAAATATAACTTAATTTAATCTAGGCTATTTAATGACAATGGAGAGTCGAGGTTGACAGTTCTAATATAGAACTTGCAGAATCATCGCCTTTAAACACTGACTAAACAAGGAATAACATAAAAGGTTTAGAAATAAGACATTTTAAAATGAAGCCATTTTATGCTAGATCAACCATTTTTGTAAGCTGACAAGTTTTAGCTTTCAGTATACAATTCAATACTTTACCTGCTACATTTAGTATAAAGTGTACAAGTTATCACACCCAAATTTACAGAGTAATTGACTTTGGCCCTGGTCTTACTCGGACCTATTTACACATTTGGGATAAGTAACCAGGTTTTTTTCCTTTAATTTTTATACATATGTTCAAACTTTAAACCAACATTCAAATCTTCAAAATCGTACAAGAGACAAGGTATTTTAAATGTACATCTTCGATTATTACAGTACTGCGTATGTATATGTAATGAGAACATGCTTGTAGGATTTGCTAAACTCTCCACTGCTGACTATTCACCACGTTAAAGTTTTGAGGAAAAACAAAAACAAAACAAACCCAAAAAACCTCTTGCACACTCTCCAACTCTTGTTCCCAGAGGGATCTCCTGAGTGCTGGTAGGTTTAGATTGCCATAGCTACTGTGAGGCTGGGCAAGAAAAAATTCAGCTCCTTCAATAAAAGGCAATGATATGCCTCAAACCGCCCCCCTTCTCCTCTCCCCCACCCCCCAAATTAGGCATGCCAATCTTTTCATTAAAGAGATCTGTGTTACTATAACTAGATACTATATGCTGGCCATATGCAGTTGTGTGTGTTATATCCAGTGACAACACTCATATATGCTTATAATGGCCATATCAACACAGTAAATATATCAAGCCACACAGCAGCGCCCTCAAGCATGCTGCGCTGGTTCAGGCAGGCTGCCTCTTACAGCAGATGCAATGCACCCTCTGTGTGGTGTGGCAAGCAGGCTAACTGGCATGAGGGTGGACTAACTGAAACGGTCTTTCTGCAGTAACAACTAGTCCACCTGATGCACCACACAGACAATGCTGCACTACTTCCAGTTTAGAAAGCCGCTTGCCTAAAGCAGCACAGCATGCTTGAGGACTGTGCTGGGCACAATACATTACTGCAGAGATGTGGGCAACTTAATTCTTCAGGATGTGTGTCATGAACACAATACCCTAAATCAAATGAGTTTTGGGGCAGAAATATTAATTTTGTTTTGAAGTGGTGGGTTCTCAAAACTCCAGTGTTGATAACAGATTGTGCTGTTGAACAAACCGACCTCATGAGCAGAGACAGCAATGAGTTCACACTCCCCAAACCTTGAAGAGCATTAGTAGCATTTACAAGTTCTGTGATTTCTCTTGCAGCTACACAAATGATAAAGGATATTTTTTTTCCAGTTTAAAGCCTACCTCAATCAAAATGAACCACCATTACATACAGGGCAGTTATTCCTGTGGAAAATCTCCAAAGCACTAGTTGATTCATAATTAAAAGAACCATGTGCACCTGCAAACAAGTAGACAGGTTTTTACAGAAGGCCTCTCTGTGGTAAGTTATATACAATATAGTGTTCTTGTTTCCCTTAAAGTGCTATCTTCAATGCTGATTCAGAATCATCTATTGTTTTAAGAGGTCTTTTAATACAGCACCGGCACTGGCATCAGGTGATACTGGCAGTGGTGTAAAAGTAGGTAAGGCATCAGAAATAGGTTTCATGAGAAGATGCCCAGGTCCACCCGCTGGGGTGATAAGGGGCACTGCTGCTGACCGGGGTGCCAAGAATGGATTTGCATCTGGTCTTCTACTGGTTCCTGCGCCAGCTGCATCTGAGATGTAACAATTTTTTATGTTTAGAAAAACAGTCATAATCCATCAATCTTCAAAGCATTTGTATAGAAAGCAAGTCAGTCTACCCTATCTCTTACTTTCTAATGCATCAAATTAAATTGTCTTAACTCAGGCTTCCAGGCCTCTAAAACCTCCCTAGTTATCCACTCTCTCCTCTCTAATCACATCGTTCATCATTCACACTTTTCAACGATGCCAGTTTTGATCACACATGTCCGTTTCTTATAAACTGCCTTGTCTAATGCTGAACTCCTTCCCCAAACTAGCTTTAGATCAATCAGCCTAAACTTCAGTGTACAAATTAACTTTCAATCCCAGATCAAATTTAGCTAATTTTCCTTTAACTGCAGATATAGTGAGGGGAAAGAAAGAGAATTTTACCTTACAGAAGACAACCAATTAATACTGCCACTGCACAGAGGTGGCTCACTGTTAGCCTGAATCAGGCAGGTCATAGTAGCTGATGAAGTAGGCTGTCGTCTTTGAAAGCTTATGCACTTCTGATCACTAGAAGTTCCACCCTGACCTACTTTCTGCCTGCCATTGCATAATAATGTAATAAAAGGACCATTCAATTGCAGCCCGTGCTTAAGATACAAACCCTGGATTTCTGCCAGGCCACTGCTTATGCCACAGCCTGGCCCCCTCTACCCCTTCCAGCTTCCTGTCCGTGCCTTAGAGAATGGAGCAGTGGAGTGTGGTTCAGGGAGCTGAGGGTGAGCCTGGGGCTGTGTGAGTATGTGGTGCTTACATGGACACAGGCTGCGCCCAGACAAATGCAGACACCTGGCACACCTTGCACCACTGCGTTTTCCCCAGGGAATGCCTGTGTCACGTGCCCTCTGGTGCACTGCAGGTTACTCTAGGTGGGGTAGAGGAGACTGGGGCCAGCAAGTGTGTTGGCCCCAGCAGCCTTTCCCAGGGGCCAGGGAAGTTGCAGCTGTGGCGTTCCTGCAGCTTGGAGCCTGGCCGGCAGCTGAAGCCTGGCTCCCACCGGCCAGGCTCCAGTTTTGGGCAGTGAACGCTGCCTTCATGTGTGCCACCATACTCTTTTTCTGTGCACGTTTTTTTGACCCCTGGATCTCCAAGGCAGCAGTGCAGAAAACGCCTGAATGTCGTGTGTGCCACTGCAGACAGGTCTGCGGCGCCACATACTGCACTGCTGTGCTTGTCTGCACGTGGCCATAGTATTGCAGTAGGATACCCAAGGAGGTGCACAATGCAGCAGTTTGGGCAGGGCATCTGCATGGCATGAGACCCAGGGGGCTCATGGCTCACCTTGGTGTGGCCTGTGGGAGTGCAGTCCTAGCTCCTTAGAGGTTGGACAGGTCTGAGTTAACAGGTTTCCTAAAGGAGCGTTTATTACATAACTGGTTCAATTCTTATAAATGCAGCAAGACTACTCAATTAACTGCATATTTACTTGAATAGTGGTTTTTACATCCTTACCGAGTGCTTTAAATCTGCTTTTATATGGTTCATTTCCAACCACCAAAAACTTAAGCACCAAAACAATTAAGGAATGTAGAAAGGGTGATTGGCTTTGCAAGGCATCAGTCTGGTTCCTAAATGAATAAATAGGATCTTAGAACTTAATTTTTCTTCCAGACAAGGAAGCTGGGCTTTTGCCAAGTCAAATAAGTACTAAGTCTATTATATTATTAATGTACTACAAGTTATAAGAGTACCAATGAATAAGAAATGTCATTTAAAATTTATTGAAAATATTACTTCCAGAGAAAAAAATATGTATGTTCAACTAGACATTTTTTATTTATATTAGGAGTCTCCAATTTAGTTGCATCATAAAATAGCTGGTTTAGCTTAATTTTGCAACTTAAGAGCTGATCATTTTAAATTTTAGCAAGTTTCTGAAACCAGTGTTTCTATACTAAGGTAAAGCTTTAACTATTGGTTAAAATCACAGTCTGAATGCAGAAATCAGACTGATTAAATTGAGGATTTGACCCCGCAAGTTCTGAGCATCTTAAATAGATTATTCTGGTGCAGGTGCCCAGTAAAACCAGAAGCTAAATCTCTGCTAGAAAGTATTTCAAACACAGGAATAATTATTTCAATGCTGCTAAATTAGGGAACAACTAACAGAATTTCTCACAGCTCAGAAATCAGGTATGCTCATGACTTTAAAATGATTTGCTAGTCCTACACAAATCCTTACCTACTCAACAGTTTTAAGTATCACAAAGCCACCACAAGCTTGGCATTCTTGACTCAATGAGACCCAGCTCGATCAGCAGGGATGCCTCAAATCAGTCCCAGGGCGCACTATTGATATAACTATGCACAGGAAGGCTGCCCAACATCTGTTTGGCTCTAACAAGTGCTGCTAGCTTCACTGTCAAAAGAAATAAATTCACTCAGGCGTTAAAGCTGTGGTTTTTCAAGCTACCATTTTCAGAGTGGTCCAAGGCAGGCAGCAGTCCTAACCCCTTTAGGCTCCTTTGAAAGTCCCACTCTTGGTCCTTGTCTATGCTACGAAGTTCAGGTAGCAGAGCTGTTAGCTGGTGGCATATAGGGGAACTCACACGCTGCACATCACTGATACAATTCTGCCAGTGCAAGGTAGCTTTTGCTGTTTGGGAGAGATGCTGGAAGTTTTTTCCATACCACAGAGCCCAGCTGTCCTAGCATTGACAAGATAGTTAAAGCAGCAACACATCTTTAATGCAATACCAGACTAAACTGCTATACTTTTTCACATACCACACATGCTCAGATAAGACATGCACCCTTTTTTCAGAAGGCAGAATGAAGAAAAGACTTTTCTTGCCAGCAGTGAAAACTGTGGACCATTCCTCCATCAGCAGCAGCTTGAGGGGCTCCCTTCAGCAATTCCTCCTCTCCCCTCCCCACCCTATTTCACATTGTTGAGAGATACCCTCAAGTTGCTACCAGATTAGACCTTGTTGCTGCTGAGACAGTAGCAGTGGCTGGAGCGGGGGGGGGTTTCTGAGTGAAAGAGAGTAACTCTGCACATGCTGGACAGAGAACAGCAGAGTGAGCATGCGGGACTCCCTAACTGTGGAGTATAGGACCCCTGCGTGCTTATTGCATGGCTCCCTGGTCCAGCATGTGTAGGGTTACTACTTTCCCTTGTCTCTGGGCAGACCCTCCTGCTAACTCAGCAGCAGCATCTGCCCCAGCAACAGCCCACGGGTATTCGGGGGCTTGGCTGCATTTCCTCGCTTAACACATCAATTTCCAGTAACGGATTTTCATGGAAGAGGTGCGTGTAGTAATACGTGAGAAAATATGCTATTAACATGAAGACACAAATAACCATCTTATTTCTGCTGTATATAAACTTTCAAGTTTTCCATCAAACATTACCTTGCATCTGACTGCTGGATGTAGCACTACTAGGTTTTCCAATTCCTGAAACTCCTAAAGGCTTCATGTCATGGACTGAGAGCGTAGGCGGAGGAAGGGTTGGACGGGATTCTGTTTCAAGAAACTTCACAAAAAGTTCTGAAAAGGACTAGATAAGAACATGCACAATAGTTAAAATATTTAAAATGTTTGTAGGGATATCAAGAAATAAAATGCTCTGTTGCTGAAAAAACCTGAAAAGATTTGTACTGGTGTGCTAAATCATGGGAAATGAGTCCTTAAAGCCTAGTGATTGTGAAGTTTATTTGAAAATTACCAGTATTTTTGTCACTCTAGGTTGACAATGTAAAACGTTGATCGTTTCAAAGATAAATGTTTTCATCCAGCCAAGTTCTGTTACTAAGAATCTTGGTTCTTCTGGAAGCTCAGGCCTGTACTGACATCATAGCAGTGTCTGTGTTTGTTTAATGAAGGAAATAATGTTGGGGTTTTTTTAAGCCCATTATTTTCTCTATTTTGTTATCTGAGACATTGTTCCATGAATATGGAATAAGAAGTGCTTATTAAGTCAACAGGAGCAGACTTTGGATTTTGCTGAAAGCACATGTGGGAAAAATGGGAATGTAAGCCTTCACATAATATACATCAGTATTTCTAGCTACAGCAGCTAAGAAAGCAGCCACTTTTCAAGTTCAAAGGGGTGGAAAAGCAAAACAATCAAAATATAATTTCACAGTCTGATATCCTGCAGACTGTTGAAGACTTCCAGACTCCCAGATGTATTTAACCTCTAACTCTTATGGCTCACAAGATAAGCTCCCTAGTGGATGATGAAGTCAATGGTCCCTAGAACAGCAGTTATATTTTGGTACTGATCCAAGCACTTGGCAAATTAAGTCATGGACTATAGATGAGGGTAATTTCTGATCTCAGGAAATACTTGTTCATTACTAGTTTAAACAAAACAGTTGCATAATGAAAAAAATAATGGCAATTCTATTACCCTCAATAAATTCAACATTAAATGAAGTCCAGTATAACAATGAACTAGAATGTAAGCATTCATACACAACTGCCCCAACTTTTCTATTCAAACAACAAGAATACATAATGAATTCTTACGCTATTGAAAATGGATTGATGGGCTGGTCTTAAAGGGGTAGTGGGGACACTCTTTGACCCAGCTCCTCCTCCACCAAGCCAACCAGTCACCCATCTGGTAACACCTCTTTGCTCTTCAGACAATAACTGGAAATAATTAAGTAAAGAAATACTTAAACAAAAACATCAGAGAACAATACACTAAACAAAACAAAACAATGTCAACTCATAGTACCCTCTCATAGATAACAAAAAACAAACAAGGAAGTGTGTGCCACAGCATCTTATGGATTAATAAATCATTAATTAATGACAAAAATTTTAAAAACAATTCTCCGCCTCAAAAATGTAACCAGTCTAAAATGTTACTCAAAAATTTTGTTAACATAAACCTGTACGTGACCTAGTTTGACTGCCTGACATAAATATATTCTTTCTGAGACTGTCAATGTACTACTATACTCAATAACAACCATATGAAGTTTCCTCTTCTGCCATATCAAATTCCTCCAACCAAGAGAGTTCTGCATCTATTCTATTAAAGTCACCGCTCAGGATCATGCTGCTTTTTAAGAACGAGCACTGATGAAAAAGCAAAAGACACTCTTCCATGGATGCTGCTTGTCGTTAATGTTAAACACTGTGTAACAGAGCCCAAGGTCTTCTGTTCCTTTAAGAGGGAAAGCAGCCCAACCCAGGAGCTCTGTAGGCAGGCAGGGCACCACAGCTGCAGGCTGCCAAGGCAACAGGCTAATGGGTAATTAGCAGGCACCTGCAGGTGGCCAGGCAGACAGGGGCCACGTGACTAGAAGGGACAAGGGAAGCTAGTGCCTCAAAGTCAGGCCCAACCCAGTGGGCTTAGGCTAGAAGGCCTAGTTAGATTAAAGGGGCAGAGACTGAGGGGGTCAAAGCCCCAACAGAGGGACAATGTACTGGTAATGCCCGCGAGGCATGAGGCATGGTAAAGGGGAGGTGTTGGAGTCGCACAATTAGCCAATAGTCTAGTCTCTAGACTGGAGACTAGAGGCCCAGTCATGAATCTGGTACCAGTGGGACTAAGGCTCAGCAAAGGTCCAAAGGCAGCCTCCCTATTTTATGTCCATCAAGGCGTGGCAGATGAGACAGAGGGGGCACCCTACAGGTGGAGCATGGCACAGTCGCAGAGCCACCAGGGGGGTGTCATGGCCGCCCCAGGAACCCAACGTGTTACACACAACAACAGGAAACATTCTATTTTACAAACATACCGAGTGTGGAAAAAAAAGCTTACATTTCCATGCAATATTACCTGATCTAGCTCTTCCTTTTTGATCCCCAAGATACTTCCCATTAGCCTTAATGCCTCATGACGCTTATTTTTTGGAGTATGAAAATGCCCAATGAAAAGATTTCTCATCAGGACCCTATAAAATTAAAAAAAAAAAGCTAACTGATATCGTCATCTTGTGCTCAACTGTGGATCTACTGTATACATTTTAACACGTAATTTTTTTTATTTATTTATTTTGCAACAATACTGAAACCTCACCGATTTGGAGAAAATGGGAAATGACTTCAGTAAAGCAAAACTAAACAGAAATTGAAAGCAATAATATGATGTCAACTGCACATGCTGAGGTTCTCATTCAGGAAAGCACTTATATACATGCTTACATGCTGTCCAGAACTGGGATCTATTCAAGCTGAATCTCCAAATCCAAATCAAATCAGGAGACCCTTTAATCTCTCTGAATTGAATCAGAACCCTCCAAATCAATTCAGAGAGATTCGGAAATATTCAGTGATTCCGACATAGACACAGCTCTACATTTTTTTTTCTACATACCTCAAGGTACCAGGCAGCTCATGAATGCTGAGATGGTGGGGCAGATAGAGTGTCAGCAGCAGACCCGGAAGCGGACCAGAAGCACTTCCGATCCACTTCTAGGTCTGCTGGGGAACACACCAGGGGGCCCCCCCATGCTCCCCCAGCTTGGCGACTGGTGCCTCTTGGGTCTCAGGGAGGGGGCACCCAGGGTCCCCCTGTGGCCAATCACCGAGACGGGGGGAGAGCAGGGAGGTCCCCCAGCATGCTTCCCAGAAGTGGAGCAGAAGTAATTCTGGTCCACTTCCAGGTTTGCCGCCCAGCATGCAGGGGGGGCCCCCTGCGCTCATGTGGGATGCTCCAACCGCCCCACCATCGCAGCATTCACGAGCCATGCCTGGCACCTCAAGGTACGTAGAAAAAACATTTAAAGCTGTGTCTATGACTGAATCGCTGATTCTCCAAATCAGCATCGAATCTTCCGATTCAGCCCAATTGAATCGGGAAAGCGATCCGAATCAACAAATCGAATCACTGTCCCTGATTCAGGCCAAATACAAATTGAATATGGCTGGTTTCGCACACCCATACTGCTTCTTATACCATAAACAAAGAGAGGGGGGTGTAGCCTAAGAATTACAAATAGCGAGGGAAAAAAAAAACAGACCCAAAGCAGCATTATAAACAATCAGTACTTCTGTTCAGACAAACATTTTGGCTGCTTGCAGACATGAAAACAACCCCCACAAAAACAAAAAAACAGTGCTTTACTTTCAGCTTGGTGCCCCTGCACTGAGTGCAGCACATGCCCAGAAGAGGCATCATGTTAGCTGGACCCGGCTTGCCCAACATTTGTATAGATTGGGCACTTCAGTGGGGCTTTTTGACACTTATCTAAAAACTAACTGAATTGGCTATTAGATACAAATGTCAAAAAGCCCCACTGATACACCTGATCTAAACAGATGCTGCAAAACCAGGCCGACATAATGCATTACCTCTTTCAGTAAAGCGCTGTTTTGTTCTGTTTTTTGTACATATCTGTCAGTGCCCTTAATTTCAATTAGCAAAACTAATCTACAAAATGCCAGTGTATTAGAAAATATGCAAGTAGGTACCTAATATTGTACATTAATCCATTAATCTTACAAAATAATTTATAGGGCAAGAAGTAAAAGACAAAAATGTATATACCTAATTTAAAACAACATTACTTACTTGTCCACTTTCCCTTCTGTGCTGTTTATAAGGTTCATTAGCTTATTTTGTGCATCTTCTAACATTTCTTTTCTGATCTCACCTAGAGAATTAATGGCATTTCACTGTAAATTAACTAAAATAAATTATTTTGACATCAGAAACATTCTAAAAAAATCAGTAATAGACAGATTTGCATTTTTAAATAAAATGCAGCAGGCAAAAAATAATCATTGTTTGTAAATGTATTTGGAAAGTGTCCACACACAACTATTTAATATTTTCATTTATGAGCTAAATTATACAGCACAATGCATTAACATTATGTCTAAAGCACAGATGGCAGGATATAAGTCAGCTGAATGAGGTTTGGTAAACTATTCGGCTGTGTTCAAAACTGGAGAAGGTCTCCTGGGTCATCAAGTCCAGTCCCCAGCGATTGTAGGCAACTACATTATAAGCCTTATACAAAATAAACATGCTCCATCTTTAAAGTGTGGCTGTTTTCCCCTTTCTATGCATTTTAAAAGACAGCTCGGAGACTTAGAAGTCTTATTTAATTTACAGCCCAAGTTTATTCATGGACCGTTATACTAAACTGGAAATTGAGACCTTCCAATTCATGAGCAGAACCTATCCCAAAGGGTCTGGGGAAGAAGCTACAGGTGGACCTCAAGGGAACTTGGAAATACTGTACTTTTTGAGCCACTTTCCCACACTGGGAAAGTACAGGGTTAGTTTGCTCATGTGAATACTTCATCTACTTCATCCTAGTTTATTAATGCATGCAAGTTCTTACACCCTTCCTCTCTTGGGGTTTTGTTTATTAAAATAGTATTCCAGTTTAATAACAACCTATCTTTAACAAATCTCTCAGACTCTACAGCTCCCTCTCAAGACTCAGCTCATGATATCTGACTCCTAATCCTCTTGCTATCAAAACTTCTACCCCTTCTCCTTGCAAGCCTCTCCCACCAGGCCTCCTGTTGCAAAACCATTCCCTTGATTGTGGGTCCTGTGTGTCCAACAGTACACATAGGTCTTGCAACAGAGTGCTGGAACATGCTTAAGCAGGCAAGAACTAATGCACTGCTGTATTGCCATTGTACCAGTAACCCAAGTTGCAAAAAAAGATTTATGCAAGAGACTGAATTAGCAATTTGGAAGCATGAAAATTCAGTTTAAAATGGCTAAAATGAAGTCTCTCAGCTACTATGAATATTCTATGATGCACAGCTAAGAGAAATGGTTACTAGAGTCTTTTCATCATATGGTAAAATTCACAAATGAAATTCATAAAAACAATATTACCTCATTAAGCGAGGGGCACGACAAGTCTCTCACTGGGGTTGTAGAGAGGCAGCAGCAAGACGCCAGACTACCATGTGTAGACCCTGAGATGGTGCAGAGTCATTTGGAAGAACTGGATGCCTTTAAGTCGGCAGGCCCGGATGAGCTCCATCTGAGGGTGCTGAAGGCACTGGCCGACATCATTGCAGAGCCACTGGCGGGAACATTTGAAAGCTCGTGGCGCACGGGCCAAGTCCCGGAGGACTGGAAAAGGGCCAACGTGGTCCCCATTTTCAAAAAGGGGAGGAAGGAGGACCCGGGCAACTATAGGCCAGTCAGTCTCACCTCCATCCTTGGCAAAGTCTTTGAAAAAATTATCAAGGCTCACATTTGTGAGAGCCCGGCAGGACAAATTATGCTGAGGGGAAACCAGCACAGGTTCGTGGCAGGCAGATCGTGCCTGACCAATCTAGTCTCTTTTTATGACCAGGTTACGAAACGCCGGGACACAGGAGGAGGGGTGGATGTCGTATACTTAGACTTCAGGAAGGCCTTCGATACGGTATCCCACCCCATACTGGTGAACAAGTTAAGAGGCTGTGACTAGGATGACTACACAGTCCGGTGGGTGGCGAATTGGCTAGAGGGTTGCACCCAGAGAGTCGTGGTGGATGGGTTGGTTTCGACCTGGAA